CGCGCTTGGTGATGTGAGAGCCTGGTCCGGTGAGAACCCGGCGTGCTCCGTCCCGGCTTTGTAGGGATGCGAGGTCAATGGTCTAACGACTACGGCATGCACGACTATGAGTACACCCCCTCCCTCTTCCGTCGCGCAATCCATGGCCCATATGGGTGTACCCCTTTCGCGCCCAGACTGAAGGGAGTGTCGAAGGCCATTCTCGTCGTCGGGGCCGAGAATAAATTAGTCACTTCTTGGGGGGCGGCAAGTGGTGATCTGATCATGATCACGGGGAAGTCCCGCGTCTCGCGTTGAAGAGTAACCGCACAAGTGGGTTGTCCGAATACATATGTACTGGACAGAGACCACAGATGGCAAGACTTGCACCTTTTTTTTTTGTTGCCTTATTTGCGCCAGTCTCTGTGCTGAGCATCTCGACAAGTCAGCGGAGGGTGGTGTTCGGAACGACAGCCCAAGGATAACTAGCGCTGCAATGTGTGTATAGACTGCCCCCAAGTTGTGTTCGTAGCAAAAGCAATATGCAACTCTCGACCTTCATCCCCTTGCCCTCTCCCTCCCTCCGTTCCCCTCCTCCATCTCCCCCCGTCTCTCTGCCTGTGTGCCTCTCTCGCCCACCCTCTTTCTCACTCTCTCTTTCTCTCGCATTTCGCCAATTGGTTGTGTCTGCCGTGCCAATGGATCGATCGATGGCCAACACACCTCTGTACGCCCGAGAAAAGGTCTTTGGTGAAACCAGGGAAAGGCGAAACGTCGAGAGGCTGCTGCTCGACCCCCCAGAAAAGCTCTCGATCACGCGCTCGGATGCAGAGTTGCTGGAGGAGCACCGCGAGGTAAACCGCCGGCCTGCCCTTCGGGCTCGAGGGCATTGCGCTGTTTTGTTAACGCCACTTTCTCTTGTCTACACTCTTTTTGTGGACAATGTAGATACTATAAATTACAGACTACTAGACCCGTTCGAGATGTTACCGCCATCGAAGGGGATGTTGAAGCGGCGAGGGGGAGGAAAACACAGCCCGCTGGCCCGCCCTTCGGCATGAAGGCGTTGGGCGCTCCTTTGTCGACGTTAATTCCCTAGTCTTGACCCCTTTTTTTAGAAAATATATGCTACAATGGCAGAAATATACGTGCAATCACAGAAAGGCTAGATCCGTTCGGATCGTACCGCAGTCGAAGGGGACGTATTGAAGCGGTGAGGGGGAAAGAAACAGAAATTCGCGATTCGAGTGTGTTTTGAGGAAACGACCTCGCGCCGTAGGTGTGCTTGGCTCCTATAGTGGTGTCGTGCTTCCCCGGCACTCGGGAGGCGGTTTCCACCCATCCCATTCACTTTCTGGCCAGCAAGAACGCCACCCGCGCTTAATGCCGCCCCGTGGGTTTTCTCATGACGGCAGAGCTCCCCCGCCCCCCCGGCAATAACACCCATAGAAGCCGAAATCAAAAACCTATATACCCTACAGATGACGGGGCACCGCTTTGCTGGCCTGGAGCTCTCCCGTTTATACTGATGCGCCTGCTATCCATTCGCCCTCCGGTTTCGACACGAACGTCCCACGGGGGCAGGTGCTCTCCTCTTGGCGGTTCGAGGTGAGGGTGGACCAAGGGCAGCAGGGGGGCGACGGCCTCACGCCGGTGGTCACCCTGACAGCCGTCCCCATGGTCTGCGGCGTGAGGTTGTCGGTGCAGGTACGCTGCTCGCACGAAAGTGAAACCAAAACCACTTTCTTTCTTTTTGCCGACAAGCGTGTGTGTAGAGGAAGGGATTTTTCCGCCCCCAGCAACAGGGAAGAGGCGTGTTTGGGGCTCCAGATCTCTTCGCGGCGAGGTTTGTTTGACAGCCAATGTTGAGAAGGACCTCCGGCCTCGGGGTCTCCCAAGTCCATACGCGTCAAGGGATGGCGTGTTTTTGATTTCGGTGTCACTAGTTGGCGTGTGTGTCTCGTACAACTCCCGCACCTGCGGTTCCAGCAGGCTTCACGCGCCCTTGTGGTGTGGGGTGCCACCGTTGTGGAGGCCCCTCCTCTGTGTGGTTCACCTTCATTCACCCACACACGCAAGCTCCTCTTTCTTTGAACCATTTCGCACCGATCACACACAACACTCGAGGTCCTTTTCTTGTTGAAAATCAATCTCGCCCAGGACTTTGTGGGCTTCCTGCACTTCCTGCGCGAGAGCGTGGAGCCCGGGCAGTCGGCTCGCCGGCTCCGCCCGCCCCAGGTGCAGCACATCCTCAACTACAAGGCCTGCCACTCCGCCATCAGGCAAGCCAGGCGCCGTCGTGCGTGTATCGTGTTTGGGGGCCGCCAGCGTGTGTGTTTTTGGCGGCGTGAGAGAGCTGAGCATCATGCTTAGGCTGCGGTAGTGCTAGACTCATGACGAAGTTCTGATGCAGAGGTGTGAAGAGCCTGGCCCACAGGGGGAACTATCACCTGTTTCGTTTGCGTTGCTTAGAGCGATTTTATTTTTTTTTACATTCGGGGGGAGTTTTTGCGCTGGCAGGCCTCCCCAAGAGTGTGGACTACCCAAGCGCAGTTCAGTTCGACACGCTCGTCATCGGTGTAGATGCGGGATGAGCGACGAGTCGAATCGAGCGTACGAGGTTTCGTATGTGTGCGTGCGTTGCCATGTCGGAGAGCCGCAAACTTACGCAGCCATGCACCAAGCTAGTCGCACCTGGAGTTTCGCCGAAGGGGCTGGCTTGCATGTGGGTGAAAATCAGTTTGTTGCTTGCACACCCCAACCTAGACAATGAAGAAAGCGTGTGAAAGCTGGGTTTCTATCTCCCCCGAGCGTGGATCGCCGACTTGATCCCGCCGTGCTGAAGAACAACAGCTAGGGGCTAGAACACTATCGTCTCCGAGAAGATATTATCCATCTTCCTGCCTGAAGAGTCGCCAAGGTTTAGTCTTTCACCGCGCCTCCGGCGGCGGCTTGAACCAGCCCAGGACAAAAACGGTTGCAGCGCTCATGAAACCGATGAAGAAACTCCGACGACGACTCGCCCCCCCTCGACGAAGAAACCCTTCAACACGCGAACCGACCTCGTAGACGCCCCCCCCCCCTCCCCCACCGAAGATTTAGGAAGGTAGGCGATGGAGACGTTAAGTTCAAATGTGAATCCGCCTCCAAGTGCAAAGACCGGGTTCATGTAGTTGGGGAATGTCCATTGTGCAAGATGGAGAGGGAAAACATGGCTGAGCTGGGAAAAGTAGGAGCAAGGCACAGAGAGGTGTTTGAGGCATGGAATGGTCGGGAGAAGACGGTAGCTATAGTGGGGCATAGGGAAGTGGGCTGAAAAGGCGGGGAGCGATATCGGTGGGATAGATACTGTGGGGAAATTGTTTTTGAGCGACCTTTGGCAAAGTAGGAAGGAACAATTGGCCATCGGTGATCGGTCCAGTGAGATGAATGCTCCGCCATTTCGAGGTCAATGGGCTAACAACAGCTAAGGCNCCCCCCCCCCCCCCCCGCCGCGCGAACGGACGGTCTCCTGTTTTACAGCTTGATTCTGACTCGTTTGTTCGCCACCCACCGCTCTCACGTTCAGGCTCTGCGACGAGGTGGAGATGCTGTAACGTACGCGGTGCCCTGCATCTGTCCTTGACACACATTTCCGACAGAAACGTGCGCCGCTTTTTACCGAAGTCCACCCCCCGCCCCCGACCCGGTTCTCCCTCGGTTGTTGTTCAGGTTCGGAGACGTGCTGTCGCGCTCCGATTGCGTCGAGCTTGTCGCCAAGCTAGCCTCGTGCGCCCACCCGTTCTTCTGCGCTCACGGCCGACCTAGCGTAGTCCCGATTTGCGTTCTAGGAGGCTCCGCGCCGTCGTCTCGGGCCTCGCGAGCGGCTCCGCAGAAGGGGGCAAGGGGCAGGTGGGACGGTGGCGGCGGCGGCGGCGGCGGCGGCGGCGGCGGCGGCGGGAATAGCAGGCCGTCTGGGACATGAGCGTGAAGGAGGTGAAGGAGGGGGAGAATCGGGACTAGAGACATTGGATAGCCTGCTTGCTTTCGCCTAAGACAGCGATGAAAATGGCTCTGGCATGTATCGCGAAGACGAGTTGGGGGGGCAGGGGAAGCATGGAGGAGCTTTTCGAGTTGAGTCCCTGAAGAAACGGGATGGGGCTCTTGCGAGCGTACGCCCTACCGAGCGGTACACGTATGTTCCGTGTTCTCTACGCTACGCGGACTTGACCTTTGTGACATCGAGTTTCCCGTGCTCCTATATACTCGTCAGGGAAGTACGAAGCCCCCCCCACGTGCCTCCGTCCAACCGACCCCGGAGAACTCAAGGTTTTGCCGGCGTCCACATCTTGTGTCCACTTTCGAAGGCCTCTTGCACGTGCGCTTTCGGGTTTGGTGTCGTTCGTCGCGTCAGGTTGTACTCGGTGCGAACATTTCACGTTTTTTTTTCGTGAAAGTGCTGCACAGGGTTGTTGTAATACCCCCGGTTGGTGGTAGGAAGTTTCTTGGAGGATGTTGCGTCAACGTGTAGCACCCCGTGTGTGTGGCAGATTGTTTCGATGGCAACGCCATACTTCATTCAGCGCGTGTTAGAAGCGCATTTGAGAATGTTCCCGACGACGTACCCGCCAATCACATTTTTTTCTTGTGCTTGGTGTTCTCTACCACGTTGTTGCGCTGGTTCTGGCCCCTATCCCGTCCCTCTTCTCGCGTATGCTGTTCAAGGAACAGGCACGAATTTCAGTGGTTGAACAACCAGGCCGAAGGTCGGGCGGGCCCCATTTTTTTTTGCCAGCGACACTCTTCGATGCCCGGCAAGATGCGTTTTTGCTCTCCACATCTCTTTTCCTCCACATCTACCCCGGTTATATCGATGTTGGGGGGGAGAACTTGAGAACCCGTGGACGGCAAAGTGCGCTGATTTGTTCCTTTTTCCTATACTGCTTTGTGCGTCTGTAGTGCTCGTCGCAGCTCTCAAATAACGATGAGATGGCAACAGCGGCCCCGCGCGAAAGGTATGCCACCAATTTTTCGACACAGCTAAACACCAGAACATTAAAGAGGGTGTTCACGTTCATGGGGGATGGCGGCCACATGGGTGTAATACCAGGTGCACTTGGCGGTGTCATCGTTGGCAGCCCTTCCTGCGCACCAGCCATGAGCAGCGGACCAACCAATGGATGAGAACCATGAAGCCGTGTGCTTCACTTCAACAAAGCCAGCATTCAAGCCGACGAAAAGCTGCGTGGGTCGAGCGGAGTAGAACTCGATCCCGAGATCGTTAACTTTCAACACAGCTGCCAACAAACGGCACACGCAAGTGATTGGAATGTCCAAGCCACCCGACGCTCTAAGCTGCAGAGGAATTTCACCCTCTCTCAGGCCTCCCAAATCGTACAAGATCAGTGTATGTTACGGCACCGTACGACACAACAGAGCTTAACGGCACCCTCTCTTGCACCTTCAACTGCGACCGGAACTCCAACACTGAAAGCTTCCGGAGCGCATCCCCCGCGCCCACAAAATTTGATCGCACAAACACGGCGGCGAGTCAACCTTTACCGCAACCCAAGTATATAGCACCCTTAGGCGCATGAACTCTAGACACACATCACGACACGTTGAAGCACAACCATGAACACATGTGCCATGCCATGAGACACCCATCGTGACACAAGGCGAGGTACTGATCAAACGAATCTTGCGGTCATAGCCTGTAAACAAACGAATGGGCCACTGGAGGGG